AAAAATAGTTCTAAAAAACAAAAAATATATTTTTAACTTCGCCGGTGTCAGTCCAAAGCCCGATTAAAGAAAATAAAAGAAGGAAGGGAAATGTATTTTCCTTTCACTGTGGCTGCGAGGCGCAGACCGGTCAGGAGCGCACAAAACTTATTCAGCACAGGGAAAGGTGGGTCATTCCACTGACTCAGCGCAGGTAGGAGCGCCACCAGGAAAATGGGCCGTATTCCTCGCCGCGCGTACCGACGGATAATGTAGCAGCGAAAAGGTTAAAGAACAGCTAGTCTCACCAAGAAAACAAAATATCTGAATGAATACAAAAATGATTTAATTTCTTCCCAAATACAACATTTTTATGAAAGGACAGAGTGAAGGTGTGGCAATATCTACCATAAAACAATGAACATGTATGTAGATATAATTTTTTATTTACCAAAGCAAATGGTTACAACCAATAACATCAATATCAGCTTACTTCTTGTAACCACAGCTACGCCTTCGACCACGAGCACGCTCAAATTTGCGTCCCTTGGAACGTACATAAGGCTTAGTGTGACTGTGAGGCACACCTGGTGCACGGCCAAAATGTTTGCAAGCTTCACGAGCATTTCTGCGGCCTAAAACAAAGCATTTGTCAATGTCTCAGCAACAAAGAAATCAACTTTTATAGTAATTGATTGCAATCAAATTTAAGACACACCTTGCATAAGAACAGTTTTCTTCCCCAACGGGTGCTTTACAGCCAACTGATCAAATGTCATGATCTGTCCACCATTCCTCAAAATACGTGCTCGAGCTTTCTCCGTGAATCGCAATGCACAAATCTACAAAACCATACATAAATCACACACCTTTTCAAACAAAATTTAAATCTTTCAAATTTGGTTGTAATGACTTTAGGTTAAAGAAAAATCAATAAATTTCAACAAGATGAATTTATTGTCTACAGTACTTGAAAATGCTAAAAATATTTTTAGACAGGTGTCCTTGATGACTATCCTTATGTTATGTCTGCTATTGTAAAAGTAGGATATGATAATCAAAAAACCAAGGCCCAATGTTTGAACTGCAAAGAATTTACAGATATCGACAGGGATGAGGGTAATTGGTCTGGAGCAAAAAATGGCGAAATGATGCATCACAATAGTGATGCAAAAATTAGTTTATGACATATTGAATAGAGACATACAACCATATCAAATAAAATAAAAAAACTATCTTTCTAACCAAAAAAGATGCAGAACAAACTTCAAACCTTGAACACAGCATATTGTTAGAATGAATATGCCCTATCCAAAAATTTGTCATTAAATACAGACCAAGAGACCTGTAGAGACCTTCCAGACATGCCTGGAAACTTACAAGTTGGTTGTGAAAAATATCTTATCCTTAAAGGGCAGAACAATACCTTTCTGAACATAAGACTACAGAAGATATACGAGGCAAAACTAGGTGTTTAAATGAAGTAAAAAGGGGTCAAGTCTTCAGAATCTAAATAAAAATTGTGAAATTAGCTGCTGAAATCACGAAAACCTGAGGGAATAAATGCATTTAGTGAAAAACACTGCCCAATATTTTCAATCCCTTTATCTCCCATCAACATGACAAGATCAGAACTTCAGTGAAGAATGGCAAGATGAAATGGCATAAGGGCATTCCTGTTGAGTAGTTTGAATGTGTGTGGTTGAACTGAAAACTTAGTGATTTTGACAACGACAATTTGCTTGTTATTTCATGCATTTGTGCCAGATGTTTCAGTGAAGGCAATTTAAAATTTATTTAATACTGTTTAAAAAAAGTACAAGAATAATCACATGTTTGAATGTATGGATATTTGATTTCCATTCTTTTCAAGTTACTTTATAAAGTAATTGCTCTAAGCACTTCCTCCGTTTCTGCATTGAATTCTGTGAATTTCCTATTTGTTCACAAAGAAAATAAGAGAAAAACAAATAAAGACAATATTGACAACACTGCCACTGTTTTCATTCTCTTATAATTTAACAGGCATAACATGTACAAAGGTTTGTTTATAAAAGGAATCAGGGGCACACTCAGGCGTCAACAAGATTCTTCATAGCTGAAGAAAAGACATATTCAAAGACAGAAATCCAACAATTTTGAGTTACACTTTCTCCATACAATTTTGAAGACTTTCTGATCGTGAAGTCAAATCAACACTTCCTGCCTGATATGTCTCCACTTGAAGATATGTTTTCATGTAGTATGAGATTGGTCTTCAGAGAAATAAGTCAAGATACTTAGATGTCAGAGGCTGAAATAGGACAAATTAAAATCTAAATTCCAAAACCTAGGTTAAGTGATTCCTATAGTTAAAAGTCTAAACTGTACACTAATTTATCCTCTGGGTTCTACTAATCACACTCCAATAAACAGTTCAGGGGTCGTCCATAAATTACTTAATGTTGAAGGGGGGAGGGGAGTGTGGTAGCGTTTCACAGGGGCAGGGATGCTGATATTTATTGTTAAAATCTTTCATAGTTTGCTGAAATAATTCGTTTTATTCAGCGTTATACTAAAATATTACCATATCAACAAATTATATTAAAAATATAATAAATGAAAAGTTATAGTCTATAAATTGTTACAATATATGAAAATATTCTTTATCCATGACATAGGTATTGGATTGAATCCTTAAGATTACGAAGAAAATATTCGAATCTGATCTAAAGTATATTCTAGTCTAATTAGTTGGGCAGTAGGCTTGGAGCCCATGCGTCATCCACAAACGCATTCACACGAATTGTCAGAAATTCTCTCACCTAGCTATCCTCCTTTCTTTAAAACATTGTCCCCTGAACTTCTTGTTATGCACAGTCCACACCATCAACTAATTTTTGATTAACTACAATAAAGGCTGAAGTCTTGTATATGGCACAACTTACCGAAGTTTAAACCAGCACTTCGCGCTACTCCGACGTTAACTAAGCAGTTTGAATTCAAGAGGTTTTCTTGAAAAGTGATTTCGTATAAAAGTGAATTGGTCGGTGGATAGACTCAAGGATGTTTATAGTGAATGCGAGGGCCGGAGCCCCAAGCATCGCAGCAACTTGGATCCGCGTGAGCTAGTGAGAAAACTTGCCTTTGAAAGTAAATTGGCATTACAATGCAGCGAGAACAAAGCATAAGAAGGGCAAACCATGAAAATCACCTATATGTAAGGTTTATTTATTTCTATCAGAGCACGTAGAGTAATTAGGTCTTAAGGAGACCCCCCACCCGCCACTACACTCCTCTTAGGGTGTACTGTGTACCCTACTTTAACCATAATAAATTTTAATGTACAACACAAATGTAATTAATAGAAGTCGTTTCTGCTAAATAATTTTTTTTACTTACTGGAATTGGGAAGGGAAGGAATTGTGCAAGCGTAACTTAATTATTATAGGTGGATCCAAAGCATGTTGTAAGGGAGACAGGTTATTCAAAATACTACAAATTTTCATTACATCATTTATGGATGGCCTCGAAGGCAGAAATTTCCCAACAAAATAAGATTGACAAATTTATGATGATCAAAAAAAATAAAACAGTACAAATATTCTGTGCCTATTCCAGGCATATTTACATTTACATGAATCTGGGACTTTCTGATTAGCAGGTACAGTGACTACTCTCAACTCAAACCTACCCACATATTACTAATATAAAACAATTTATCAACAAACAACAATTATTATGAATTATTTTAAGATGCAATTCATTACAACCTTAAACTTCAAGGTAGCCACCTATTTTGAGACATGAAATTCCCTAACACATCCAAAGTTGAATTATTTCATTAGTATGCATGTTTTGATTGTACATACCAATGCAATTTACATTTTGATTTTGGAATACATTATGCATTTATAAATTGTAAATTGACTTTAGAAAAATAAAAAAATTGTTTTAAAAAGTTGTTTAGTTTTAAAAAATTGTTAATTGGAACAAAGGGAACATTTTCTTAAATAATTTTCAAAAGGTAAAATTTCAATACATATTTCTGGGTTTTCAGCATTTATGACTAGTGAATAGTTTTATTATCATAAAACACCTCAAATGTAGTCCTTACCAACCATTATCATTAGGTACATTACCAAGTAAAAACGATTATATCAAAGTTCATGAGGCTAAGCTAACTTTTATCTCAGTAAAGAATTATAACTTTTTTCCACAAATTCAATGAACCCAACACCACATGAAAGCCATTACTACTGGAAATGAAAGTTCACAAAGATCCACAAACACTTCAGACAAATGCAATTACAGTAATAAATTAAATGAAAAACAAACTTGAGAAAGGTTATATCTTAATGATACAATTTTCCTATCAATAAGTTTCTCCTACCTTCAACTTCGGTACAGTGTAAATCCTCTGATCGTCAGTAACAGTACCAACGACCACAGCCGTCAATTTCTCCCTATTGGGTTTCTTCATGAAACGAGAAATGCGGGCCAGTGAAATAGCTGGTCTATTAATCCTAGACATAAAAAGCCTCTTCATCACTATCTTATTGAACTTATTACGCGTTCTCCTGGCCAAAAAGCGATAGAGCTGAAATAAATAGACAATTGGTAAATAAATCTTCTGTAGAAACCGACTTTGCAGAATTAATTTACAGATTATTCTCACCTTAACAAGTAAACGTAAATACACATCCTGTGATTTCGGTTCGGTTCGCCGAACCTTGCGGTCATTTTTATGGCAGATATCGATTCCCTGTGGTTAATGGAAAAGAAAATCATAATCAAAATAACATTTCCAGAGCTATAGTTTTACGGAAATAAGTAGATGGAAATAGATAACATAATTCTATAGAACAACGTGTTAACTCACCATCTTGTACCAGCGGAAGAGCACGGAAGAGCACTCAGACTACGAAGAGAACTATGGGTACGCGAAGGCATCAAAGACTATTCATTGGAATACTCAGAAGCTCAATACGAATATATGTATTTCCTTTGACCGATGTTAAAGTTTATAAAAATTTTATAATCATATAATGACCGTATAATGTCAAAGGAACATATCCATGTGATATGTGTTTATTAAATTTTATTCAAATTCAATGTTCAATGAATTTCATACACAATCAAATACAAAATATAATTACATATTTTATTTCTCGGTGTGAATTCACGAACACCGTCACAGTTGGTACACTGGGTAAGCTTGTGAAAATGTTTGTGTGATATATGTATATTTGATTTGTGTGAGCTTTTGTGAAGAACGGTATAACAATAATAGTGTGTATTAATTGTTCTGGGCGTGTTATATAATTACATGTGGGTATCTGCTGTGAAATGGATGTCAGTAGTTTGTCACAAGTTTGCACACATGTTCATAAGATTCCTATTTCGTATTGCCAACTTCGTATTTACCAACCTTGTAGAGTAGTTAAAAAATACATTTTAGATACAATATACCAGTTAACATTAGTTAGCGTTGCCAATGATTGATGGATAATATTGATTGAGAATTATGTCATTGTAGTTATGTGGTTTGTTCGTATTTGTGTAAATAGTAAAACTCTTTGTCACTTAAACTGTCAGACGGTTAAGGTTTTGGTTTTACAATACGGATTAATATGTATTCTGGAAAATATCCAGTTGCCCGCAACATACAAGCCTCATTTAAAGCTGTTTTTAGAAGGCAGTTATCTAGTCAAAATGTTAATTTGACTAATTATTCAATAGAAAAACTGGAAGGAAGAGGGCTTCTTCGTGTGCATGGCAAGGAAGCTTCCACCTTTTTACAAGGGCTTGTAACCAATGATATGCGACATTTAGAAGAAGGAGCGCGGAGTATGTACACTATGTTTTTGAATATTAGAGGAAGAGTTATTTGTGACACTGTCATTTACAAAGATGACAATGATACATTTCTAATTGAAGCTGACAAGGAAGTTGAAACTACATTACAAAAACACTTAAAAATGTATAGAGTGAGGAAGAAAATCGATATAGATTCAATTGGCGATTTGAGTGTTTGGGTCATCTTTTTAAAAAGTCTTATGGAAAACTGTGATAACAAATACTGTCAAGAAAAGCAGTCTATCAATGACCGTGACATGGAACATGATTTTATATTGAAGACCTTTCAGCAGAGTAAAATAGTTAGCCGTGATCCAAGGCTAGCTGAATTAGGATACAGATTAATAGTGTCTTCTGAAGATGAGTTGCTGAAAGACCCAAAACTTTCTCGAGATAACCAACAACCATCTAGATTTTACAGGCAATTAAGATACAAATTAGGTGTTGGTGAGGGTGCTGCAGATATGCCACCAGGCAAATGTATTCCTTTGGAAGCCAACTGTGATTTTTTGCATGGAGTGAGCTTCCACAAGGGTTGTTATATTGGACAAGAGTTGACTGCAAGAGTACATCACACTGGAGTTGTAAGAAAACGCTTGATGCCAATAGTTTTAAATTCTGAGCCTCCTGAAGATTTTATGCCTGGTGCAAGTGTTGAGAATGCCCTGGATAATAAAGCTCTGGGCAAATTGCGTGGCTTAGAAAATAAAAATGGATTAGCTCTTTTGAAAGTGTCTGAAGCTCTGTCTGCCCCAGCACTTCGATTGTTAAATGTGTCTGGTTTTACAAAGAAACCATCTTGGTGGCCTCAGGAGGCCCCAAAGGAACGCATGATTGAAAAAGACGTGTAACTGTCAACTTCAAAAACTTAAATCTGATAGTTTGCTTGTTTTAGAGATGATACATATATGAATTAATTGCTAGTCACTTGTAATGAAACTGTTGAATTTTTTTTTATGTTGAATGTTGAGTTTCACTTGATTATTACATACTACTGTACTACATATAGTTCAAGAGAGACTTGATTGTTCTTTAACGAAGTTAATTCTATAGTGTTGTCCTGAATATACTGTAAATATATAAAAATTGGTGATTCAACTCAATCGCTTAAAGAAACAAAGTGCTTGTACATGCTAAATAGCTAACTTCATGTAAATACTATTACCCCATTCTATTATTTTATTCCCCTGACACCTCATAGAAATATTGAATTTCACAATACAATTAGAATTAAATTACCTCAAAGCATTTGTCTATTTTTTAACTTTCCTGAACCTTTGTTTTCAGAACATCTGAAATTTGAAAAGATTTGCAGATGGAAGAGGGATACATTGAATTTGGTTTACAATTATTATTCCGGTTTTATTTCTTTTGTGAACAATTTTCTTTTTATTAAGTATCCTTAACTGAAAAAACAAATATATATTGCCTCAGCTTTAGTACTCTTCAAAGTTTGTAAGGTCCAAAAGATGACAAAAGAACATTAATATAGCTTCTTTAGAATCAATGTAAGTTTTCATTTGAATGGGCATTGAATTAATGGTAAAGTGTTTTTTTGTAAGTCTGTGGTGAATTTTCTGCTATTTACACTAAATGTTTTGACAACTTCATTTAACATAGTAACATGCATAAAAATAATTTTAAGACCTGATGCAAGTGTTGAGAATGCCCAGAAAAATAAAGCTCTGGGTAAATTGGGTGGATAAGAAAATAATAATGGATTAGCTCTCTTGACGGTGTCAACAGCTCTGTCTGCCCTGAGTGGGAAAAACACTAGTATATTTATTCATGTATCACATATATGCATTAGTTTGGAAAAAAAAAATTATATAACTTGGAAATTTTAATTCATTGCTGAACTCTTGTTGTATAATGCTCAGACTAACAATTCCCTAGCTCCCAGCTAGGGAATTCCCCAGCTCTACAGAGCTCAAACGTCAAGAAAAATTGTATGTCAAAGCTCTTCTATGCATAAGGTTTTACTTTCTCTATATGAAATTTACATTTTAGGTTGTTGGTCCGTCCACCTATTTATTAACAACACTAAACTATGCTAATCATAGGATAATATTCCAAAATAAATGTTCTTTGATCACTCTGACCGGACTCAAATTTTGGGGTTACTGCACAGGAATCGATCAATTTGGCCTGGTTATTACTTCACAAGAATTGATCAATCATTAAGATCAGTACGACCTGACTTGAATTGTGGAAGTACTTCACAGGAAGTCCTTTGAACATTTTCTTAAAAATAGCCTTAATTTTTTCTTGTCATTTCTTTCAAGTATGGAGTGAAATGCACTTGTGATGATAGCACAGATCTATTATCATTGTTGCACCTGAATTTTCAAAAATTGCAAGTTTGAAAATTTTTGAACCCCCTTTTACAACTATGTTATTGATAATAGAGATTTTTTTCTTGTTCTCCACAATTAGTTCTTTAACTTAAAAGTCATGAAGATTATTTTTTTTAAATTAGTAGCTTTTGCAGAATTTTGGGAGAAATGTGGGTAACATTAAAAACAATATTTTCTCCAAAAAGGTACAGAATTTTTTCTTTAAATTTCTTGAATGGATAGTGCTAAATGCAATGAGTGTCAAGACATAAATGCCATTTTGATGTTCTCTTGATTTTTCAAAAATTCTATAGCATCACTGGTTGGTTTTGATGCCTTAGTTTTATATTTTCCAGTACAAATACATATTGTTAAAAATGACAAATTTCAAATAGAATTAATAGAATAGATGTAGAACAAGGAAACTGATGACACAGAATGTGCTGTAAATTCAAAAAAGGATGACGACTTTACTAACACACTTGTAAGTTAAAGAAATTATATTACATGCATCCTTGAGAGACAAAAATCATGATTTAATCTTGGTAGAGCAAAAAAAGTTAGAACCACACTTTCTGGTTAGAACCATGTACACATTTATATAATTATATTATTCCAATCTTACTGAAATTTTGTACTGTTAAAAACAAAATAATTACAATTTACATGTGATTTTATAAAACCTGCCGCCGTCCCCATTTCTTGACCCTTAAAAAATAAAATTTGGTGTGCATCTATTTAGTTTTTCAAAAATATCTTAAAAATGGCCATGAGATTAAACCAACTGATTGTCTGTAAAATTTACATGCATTTTATTTCATTCCATTTGAGCAATTGAAGATCAAAATTGTTACTGGAAATTTGCTAGTCACATGCACCAATGCTTTTTACAGCTGCTCCTTGCAATTGTAATTGCTGCAAACATAGCAAGGAGTAGAGAGATACGGTCCATAAGTGATACACTACACATAGTATTCATGCCTTCAATAGAAGGCAGATAAATACATAGGGAATTTCAGTTAGTTCTAAATATATTACCTTACACTTAAGAAGTATTAGGTACTTTGTTATAAAACTGTCTGGGGATAATTGAAAATCAATATACAATGTAAATTTTAATTTAAAAGTCTTTACACAATTCTTATCCTTATGGATGTCAATCTTTCTCTCATGCTATAGCAAACAATGCAAGTTCATTGAATTCATACACTATTTAATAGATTATGTAATAAAATCTACCATAAACCTTTAAAAAAAATAATATTCTTGGAAGCTGTACATTCCTTTTCTTGCTACACATAAAAAGGGAAAGGAAGAAGAAAATAATTTATTATGAACTAGTTTGGCAAGCAAATCATTTTGTATGGAATTTGCTTTCATGTTGATTTCTTTTTCAGCCTAGGAATGGAACGAAGCACACCTTCAGATGATTCAGGGGGCACATTCACCTGTTACAGATGTGGACTTTCTGAACACTATGACTTCAAAGGAAAGAAAACCCCCTATTCAAGATGGATAGATCTAAATGAGGATGGTTACATAATGCAAGATCCTTTCTCTACAAATAGAAATGACTTTCTTCTCTTGGGTGCTGATTGTTCTGTTTGTGAAAAAACAATATGCCAATCTCCAAATTGCAGTGTATATTATATGAAACGATTTTGTCTTCCATGTGGACAAACATGTCTCAATAAATTTCCAAGTGCTGTTCAGGCACGGGTGAGAAAACATTTAGAACAAAAATGATGTTTAACATGAATTTTTGAAGTGAAATTCATTAATCTGGAGAAATAATAAGTTCAATTTTTGATGTTTGAATCTGATGAACAGTTTTGCAATGGAAAAGCAAGATAGAAATATATTTAAAAATTAAATATCTAGGCACATAACTTTTAAGATACTGGAGTTACATGCCTAGAAAAATGAAGTTGTGTAAATGTTTTTTGTGAAAATTAAAAGGATAAAAAAGATTTATACTTTATATTCGTGAAAACCAAAGAGTGTATACATTAACAAGAAGAACATTTTGAGTAATCAGTTTTTACTTTAGAATTAATGTACACATTCTTACAGATATCTGCATAAACTTCAGTCATGTCAAGAACTTCTGTCAATTAGTGAGCATTTTAGCAATTTTCTTCTTCCTCTGTTCATTCTTGTTAATTTTTCTCTTCTAAAATGAAAAGCAAAACTGATTAGTAAAATATTTTGTAGGGTGTAATACACACAATATTCTCAAAATTGTATTATTTACCTTCTTTGTATCTGATAATGTTTGTCCCTGAAATGACTGCCTTGAAATACTCTGTTTTTTTATCGATTCAACAGGAAATATTTCACTTTTATCTACCTGGTTAAAACTTTGATTCTTACTTGTGAACCTTTTCCCCTCTTTTCTATTAATATATTCATTTGAAAATGTTTTCTCCTTCAATGCCTTTTTCTCAAGATTTTTCTGGTTATTTCTCCAATTTTTATCGTGCCCAATTCCTTTCAATGTTTTTTTGTTCGACCTAATCATATTATTCTTTTGTTGATTGGAAGTCTGTTTTAATTTCTTTGTTACTCTCATCACACGAAGCTCCTTTTCTCTCAATTTTATTCCTTGAAAGTGTACTGCAAGTTCCACTGCATCTGAACTCTGGATGGGAAAAAAATACAATGTATTATCTTAATCATACCAAATAATAGAACAAAAAGGTTAATTAACATTGCAATACAATAATAGCAGAAAAAGATGTTAGATATGTTAATTTTAGATACTGTTTAGAGGTCATCCATAATTTACATATTGTTCAAGAGGGGAGAGGAGGGTTTACAGTAGGGTTGCACAGCATTACATAGGGGTAGGAGGCCAAGGTTTAATGTTACTGATATTTATTTTCAAAATTTTTCAGCATTCGCTGAAATAATTCCTTTTATTCACTCTTGACACTAAAACATTACAATATTAACAAACAAAATACAAAAATTATGGTTTATAAATTGTTGCAACAAATGAGCATATTTTATTCATCAATAGTATATTGATTGAATCTGTAAAGAATATGAAGAAAATATTCAGAACTGATCTAGAGAAGTATATTCTAGAATCCAATTAAATTGGAACGGTAGACTCTGGCCCATATGTCATCCATGACATGTCCAGGTTTCATCAGAAATATTCTCACTTACATGTCCTTCAAAAATTATTCCCAATATTATTGTGAGGTGCAGTTCACGTTGCCTACTAATTCTGACTTTAATTATCATAAATTTTAATATATAACAGAAATAAAAATAATACAACTATTTGTAACTGCTTTATTGCTAATTTATTTTTAGTAATTGTAAATGGGGAAGGGCCTTGTTGCAAAGTTAACACAATTATTTCCTGGGAGGGGGGTGTAGTGCATGTTACAGAAGGAAGAGGAGGTATTCAAAATACTACTTGAAATTTGTGTTACATAATTTATTGATGAACTCCTAAGGAGAAGGACTAAAATTTAATTCAGAGGAACTCCCCAGTTCTCTATTATGATACTAGACAAAACTTTTCAATTGGAACATTGTTTTAACATTTACAATTATATCCATTAGTTGATTCTACTGACTTGAATTTCCTCTTCACTTTATAACATTTACAATGGTTTAGCAATACAGCACCATACACTTTTACCTACGTGTTACAGACAGCACTATCTGCTTATAATTCCTAATAATATACTATTAAAAGTGGTTCTGATGGAGACTTGCATAAGCATCTGTAATAGCTAGGCAACAATTGAAATTCGATTATCTCAAGTAATATGAGTTAACATATCTAATGAACAAAAATTTTTTCAAAAAATTAAAAAGATAAAAATGCTGTGTGGATAAAATTTTAAACACATCAAGGGGTCAATTTCCATAATGCAAAGGCAATTCTCACATAACTTTACAAGACAATGATCTTTTCATGGGCAATGGAGAATCCCAAAATGAAATTTTTGAAGCTACAAGCAATAAAGGATGTCCAAGGAGAAAAAGTCAGAACTTCAAAAATAAGCTCTTAAGACAATTTTAAGCATATTTTGCCTAATAAACTACTAGGATATTCTGAGTGGTTTAGCTGCAATAAGCATTCAAAAATTGGTTAGAAAAAAGCCTTCTAGACAAAAATTTACATTGCAGAAGCATAGAAATACTCCAGAAACCTGTAAATTGCTTATTATTTACAAAAGAAATTAATGAAAAAATTAAATTTCTATTTACTTGCCCCCATGGCAACATAAGTTACTTCATGAGAGCACTAAATACCCCTTGAAAATTTCTTAAAGTTGGATAGCATTCCCTCCACCAACCAAAACCTCTGTTGATTGGAAATTAATACACAGTAACAAAAGATAATTATCTGTACTGGTTCCTTGATCAAAAATGTTAAAAAAAGTTGTAATATGTTAATCAATATAGTGTGTGTTATACAGCATTCGTTGCTCATAATCTTAAGCTTTGCTTTTGGGATTAAAATATTTTACATCCTCTTCATTTATAGTTTCTATTTTCGGTATGTAAAATGAATTTAGAGGATGCAATGAGCAAAATGAAATATTGGACATTACCTTAAAATTGACAAAAGCAAAACCTTTTCCAAGTCCTGTTTCTCTATCACGCACAATTCTGATATCTTCAATTTCACCACATTCTGCAAATATGTTCCAAATTTCATTTTCCTCAGCAGCTGTGATAACAAAAATTAAGACTATTGAAATATGGAACATAAAAACTTCAAAACCATCTATATATTGTACCTTTTACTGTTTCTATTACATAAATATGTCTTGTGACACCTTATATACATTCATTATAAATATTCGTCAACCTTCTTTAACAGAGTTTGAAAACATGATGAGTGTAGCCACGTAACAGTAGGTTATGACCCAGGAAAGTTAATTAGCATCTTACATTTTGTTTAGCATACCAAGTGGAAATTTGGCTACATTTAAATATAGCTTGGCCATTCTGGAAGGTACAGAATTTCAAGTTTTATGGCATGTTAGCTTAGCTCATACAGTTCCACATCAATTATGATGGTCCCATCTTCAGCTTTCACAATTTACAAAAAACCACCACGAGTTTGGCCAACAAAAAATTACCAAGCTTATTTATAACAAAAAACACCTCCTCTCCCTTTCCTCCCTTCCCATAGCACCAACAAACAGAGCGATCAAGGTAAAGTAAAATTCAGCTGCATCCTCATTCAATAACTACGCAAAGTTAAACCACAAAGCTGAAAAATGAAGCAATAATATTCACAATATATGAATGGGTGAAAACCAGAAAAGTGAAAGTGGCATTTTATTAATTCCGAGAAAACATGCTTATATTAGGCTATATTTCAGTGAAAAAGTATTTTCATAATTTTAATTGGAATGCCATTGTGTTAATGTTGAAACAAAACATCATGGAAATATTGGCTTAAAAAAACAGATTTCTCGGAATACATAAAATGTCACTTACACCATTCTGGTTTTCGCTCATTCATATAAAACAAAAATTTATGTTTCTTTTAAACAGTTTTAAACATGATAAAGAAAAAATTTATATAACAAAATATTCTAAATCAAATAAAATGATTGTAAATGAACTATTTAAGAGAAATTTCATGTCTGATTTTTGGTTTTTAAAATGGTGTACATTTGGAGGTATAAGTATCAAAACTACCTACTTGCAAAGAAAAATTACATTTAAAGTACCCGATATGAGGAATTATTACACTGCAATTTATGCAATTCTGTTGATACCAGACAAGGGTAGAGTTGTGAAAATCACTGCAGATATTCATAACCACTGACAAATTTATATTGATAATTTAAAGCAATGAATGTGATTGTGACAATAAACAATAACTCATACAAAAAGAAATACTCACCAAACGGGACATTTCCTAAAAATATTGCTTTGTTTTGATCATGATTTTTGTTCTTCATAGCTCTGTCTACAAATATATGATGACCTTCAATTAATGAACCATTTGCTTCTAAAGCTTTGTCAACAGATTCTTTTTCATAAAATCGAATAAAAGCACTTATATTAGTCCTTTCTTGATGAAATTCTTTCTTAATTACTGTAACTTTCTTCGGAATTCTAGTGTCTCCCTGAGGAGCACATCGAAAACGAATACATTCAATAGTTCCATATCTCTTGAACTTTTTCTTTAGTCTCTTTTTATCTACGAAATGTGGAATATTTTTAACAAATACTGTCCGTAATTCTTGTTTCTCATCAAGTTTTATCTTTCGCTTACGACGTTTGGGCGGTCGAGTGGACAATTTCTCATCTTCACAATCATCCTCTTCAACCTCTTCCCTGAAAATCAGACGCAAAAAATTAATATACATCTTTAAAATTAACTCTTCACATTTTTTTTAAAGTAATGAAAATAGAGTCGCAATAATTTGGGCACAAGTTTGTAATATGAGGCAGATTATATAAATTTAACAACTTACTCGGTAACTTCTTCTGAAAATACTTTCTTCCTTTTTCCACTTTGAAGGGTTTCTTCATTCCAGTTTACTTTTCGTTTTTTGCCAACTGAAGCAGATTTCTTAGTCACTTCTGTAGGCGTAGTTTTCTCATTTTGAAATGGTACATACACAACACTTTGCTTGTCTGATGCAGCGTTACGAGTGCCGGAAATTAAATCGGCTAAGCTTCCAACTTTATAATCCATTTCACTCAAGGTTAGGTTATGGAAAAATCGTGAATCACTCTTAAATAATTCTTTATCTTACAAAATCAGAGCGTCGACAATTTGTAAAACAAAATCGACAGCGGCGACAATTCGTAAAACACTGTGAAGGCTTCAATTATAAAACAATAATAAACTATTAAATTTTGGAAATCTTCCGCAAATTACTAGCAAATATCACGAGTGCAGCATGCGAGATTTAATTGATTCCACAGATATGCAATGTTGGCATTTCTTGCTTCATAAATCGATACTCAGATGTTCTTCATGAATCGTATAGGCAACTTTCGAAATTAATACCGAATTAAATAAGCTATTTTTAAGAAAATTTGTAAATACACCAGAATGAAATCTTACTTTTACAAGAAAAAAAATACAAATGTCTTTACCGATATTATTCAAACTGTATTAATAGCTAACCTTGACGGCAATTAATGATTTGCTCATTAAATGCACGTCACTTTGGTTGGCAATTTCTTTTTTTTTTTTTAAGATCGAATCAGTGGTACCATAATTTAAAAAATACAGTTTCCACTTAAATCATACGGAGGCAGCATCAGAGAAAACTGTCCACGGCGAATGCCCTGCTATTATATAAAACTATGATTAGGCCCATTATGGACTACGCCTGCCCAAGTTGGGGAATAGCGGCGCACGCACACTTAAATAAGTTGCAAATAGTTCAAAATGCGTGCCTCCGTAGAATACTGTGCGCGCCAATGTTCATTAAAAACGCAGATTTACACGCTGCAGTAAAACTACCGCTCATAGAAGAGCACTTTAAAAACTTAGCTAAAGCCTTTTATTCAAAATTAAATACGTCAAATAACGACATTATAATAAATTTATCTTTGTACGAGCCGGACCCCACGGCTACGTACAAGCGCCCGAGAGATATGCTACAATAGGCGAGACGCCAATACTTGCATGAAAATTGCGGTAAACAACGCCAAAAGCGCGCCGAACGGCTATTGTCTTTCCTGACCATGTACTTTTCTCCATTTTCAGATCAGCCATAGATGTCCGAAAGGATAGGAATGGCTCCACAGCAGGGAAGTGTGGCGGCATTGCACTACTGCGGCCACACGCCCGTGCGCTGCAAAGCATCTCTTCGCATCTGAGAGTATATTACTCTTCTGCATCTGATAGCGATTGAAAGCATCCATTCCCATTCTGTAGGGACGTGAAAGGCTATTTGGGGCTGCTGTTGGACCTACTAGTGGCATGCAGTGTACAGTAGGTTAACGCTACAAGTGTGGGTAGTGGCAGTAGTTTGAATGTGCGATTAGTTTTTTCATTCTCCATAAAGTAATAAAATTAGCCAGCGAAGTTGAAAATCAGGATAAAAGATGGATTCATTATCAGGCATAAAGGATGGAATAGACATTTTCCACAACTTCGTAGCTTTACACAAACCTCAATTACAAGCTTCAGGTGTTCCCGGACATTTCTGGGAAATCCTCAGTAAGAAGTTGCATTATCAAATATTTGATGCTGGAGAATCATTTTCTCTTTTGAAAATCAATTATGAAGAAGGAAGAAAAGAACACGAACCCATTTGGAAAGTGATAGTGTCAGCAGAAGGTGGAATCAACCAAACAGAACCTTGCCATATATATTTGATAGATCACGCTTGGACCTATAAAGTAAGTGCAGCAAAACATAATCTGAGGGAAATCCCAGGTCTTTTGGAAAGAATGTTGCATCTTATGGATATACCAAATAATATTGATGGTAGTGTAGTTTCAGAAGAACTAGTGGGAAGAGTTTTTGATGAAATGTGGAAATTTAACCAAACTTACACAGTCGGCCCAGTATCAAATGTTGAAGAGCGATTGCCAGTATGGTATATTATGGATGAGTTTGGTTCTGCTATTCAACATTCTGACAAACCAACATTCCGAATTGTGCCTTTTATCTATATGCCAGATCAGGTTGCATACTCTCTTCTCTTTCCAGTACAAAATTTAACTGAAGGAGAGGAAGTGACACGGGATTTTGTGGAAGGCTACATTCAAGACTCTGTTTCTAGACAAGCTCTTTTGCTTCCCTGGAGACCTAATAATTTTTTGACACATACTTTTGAGCATGTTGAACCAGATAGTGATTACTTTTTAGAAGGTCATATTGCTGAAAGTTTACCTAATTACAAAAGTCTTGGAACTTACAATCCAGAAGTGAAAAATGTGATGAAGGTTTTTTCTGAATACAGTTTTATAAATTCTTATTTGACACATTCAAAATTTGAAATTGTTGACAATGAGGATGATGCTGATATATTATGGTACACATCTCATTTCAAAAATTTTAAAAATTTGAGTGAAACAAGTCCTCACAAATATGTAAATCAATTTCCTTTTGAATATGTTATAACTGTAAAAGATCTTTTGACAATTGCATGCCATCGGAAAGTTGGCGATCTGAATGAACAATTGAAACCTCTAGAAAGCTATCCTATATGGTTCCCAACTACATATAATTTAAGAACTGAACTCTCCAAATTTGTCAGTTATTATCAACATAGGGAAAAAATTGGTTTGGATAATCATTGGATTTGCAAACCTTTTAATCTAGCACGAGGTCTGGATACTCATATTACCAATAATCTCAACTATATATTGAGACTACCCTTCACAGGTCCAAAAATTGCTCAAAAGTATATTGAAGATCCTGTTTTATTTAATCGACCAGAAATTGGATTTGTGAAATTTGACATTAGATATGTTTTGGTGCTCAAATCTGTTGCACCCCTTACAGTTTACGCATACAGAAACTTTTTTCTTCGATTTGCTAATGTTCCTTTTGAACTGCAAGACTTTGAAAATTATGAGAAACATTTTACTGTTATGAATTATAATGACAGTGCTAACCTTTGTCGTATGTTGTGTGATGAATTTGTTGTAGAATTTGAAAAACAATATAATTTGGAATGGAGTATTGTTGAGGAAAAAATCTTTGAAATGCTACATTCCATGTTTGTGTCTGCTACATGCAAATCACCACCTGCTGGAATTGCGCATAACCCACAGTCACGTGCAGTGTATGCTGCTGATTTGATGTTATCGTGGAGAGAAGATAGCACTGGAAATCGTGAAATGCAGCCCAAGTTACTGGAGGTAAATTGGTGTCCAGATTGCCAGAGGGCGTGTGAATACTATCCAGATTTTTATAATGATATTTTTGGTTTGCTATTTGTTGATGAAGAAAAAGAATCTTCATTCAGGAAATTGTAAACAAGATTGAGAAGAAAAAAAAAAAAAAAAGATGTGTGCACTTTCTAAATGTAACAGCAACAAGACAATAACGAGCCCAAAAAAATAGCTCAATTAAGGGATGTGATAAAAATATGCAGTAACTTTCATAATAATAATAATAATAATAATAATAATAATAATAATAATTTTTTATTGTCATTAAGCTTCGTACAGCAATAGGCAATGTCACAGTTTAAGAATACAATGTTAACCTATTAATGTGTATGGTGCACAATACAATTTCTACCTATTAGACAGAGTTGATTACTGTCTTGTCTCTGAATATTCAAAAAACTCCTGCATGGAGTAGAAAGGAGTTTCCACCAGCCACTCGTAAAGATTTTACTTAAATGGATCTGGAGGTATATCAGTTAATCCTAAGGGTAACTTATTATACACCTTTACACCTAGTATTTCATGGCTGTTTGCTGACTTAGTCTGTGATATGGAACATTTAGTTTCCTACCACTTCTGGTTCCATAGGAATGTACATCCTGTCTGTAGTGAAAGTCTGACAGGTGCTTTTTTACATGACATAATTGACATTTACATGACATACATATGATATGATACGTAAGATTGCATTCACTGACATACATATGATATGATACGTAAGTTCGCATGATAGAGACACATTTTTTATTCATTAAATGCTGGAAACTTAAATTATGGATAAAACCTATTTTGAAGATTTTAGCTTCCAAGCATTAGAAAATAACTATATTTTAATGTTGCTATCTGCAGAAAAAACAATTATAATTTGGACATTTGCTATGTTCATGCTTATTATATTCATTATTATTGGTTTTGAATTGTGACTGGCTTATTTAAAAGTGATAAAGGTAGTGGTGAGCAGTGTAAATTATCATGCGTTAGTAAACGCAACTTTTCACAAACAAGTTTAAAATAATTGTATTATGATAAACTTTTCCTTTAGACTTCGAAATTGCCTTTGGAAGTAAACGTAAGCAATAATAAAATATAAATATATTTTTAAAGTTTTCAACAGCAAAAAGTGATGTAAACACATACAATAACAAGTATATGGCTTATTAAAACATGTCCTTTTAATATAACTTGTAATTACAACAACTCTGTTTAATTGCTATTATCAATGTTACTTCATTGCAACTTGATGCGGCATTAATGGAAAATAAATGGTTGAAAAAAGAACTGTCTATTTAAATACTTAATAGAAATATTACTAGAGGAGAAACCCAACTATATTTCAGTATTGTGCTTCACAGAACACTGGCTAACTAAAGGAACAATTAGATAACACATATATACCAGGTTTCTCTCTAGCCAGCCGCTCATGTCGAAATATTACAACGCCACTCTATGCATATGGTGGGAGCATGCATTTTTTATTAAAAAATACAGATTAGTTTTGTACCCTACACAAATCACACTCGTCTTGAAAAAAAGGGAGAAGGACTTTTTTAAATATCGGCATCACTGTTCCTAACAATAAAAAAATGCATTCTTATGCACATATCGCAGGGCCAGCTGCTGGGAAATTGAAAACTTTTTTTAAAATTGGAAGTTATTCTAACAAAACTTCAAAAATGCAGACAGTATAAAACTATTCTTTGTGTTTCGACTTCCATATAAATTGCCTCTCACAATCCAGTAATGAAATCTATTTAAAGACCTACTAAAATCAATAGAATTTACAAACGGCACCATAAATACACCAACATGAATATCCAAAAATAGGTAGCACTGCTATGTAATCAATATAATAATAGATGCAATAACCAATTGTTTTTCTGTTGCTTACATTTAATACAGGTTTTCAGTGACCCACTGCCAGATTCTAAACACTTCAAAAGAAACAAAAATACGGCTGGAACAAACAAGCTTACAAAGAAAATCCCGTAACTATTCCCCAAGGAAACAAGAAAATTAAAAACTTACTCAAGATTTGAAAATGGATGAAGTTATAATAAGGGCAAACTGGGATACAAATGATATGTTAACTCATTCATAAATATATACTTAAGACATTTATGCCATTTTCCCTCAAAACTGGAAAAAGATCCAAAATAAGGAAAACTGAAAATCATGGATTAACCACCGGCATCAAAGTGTCATGTGAAAGAAATGCAACATGTATAGCAATACTAACAATGTAACTCAAAACTTCATTTCATATTACAAACATATAATTCGATCCTAAAAAATTATCAACAAGCAAAATTATAACAATGATAAGTACATTGCAATGCCGTAATAAAACTAAAGGTATGTGGGAACCTTATTAAATAGACTATAGCACCAACTCATAATCAACAGAAAAAATATAGAGGCTCCACTACAAAAACGAAACTGGTACAAGACCCACAAGAAATAGCTGATATTTTCAATGAACACTTTCACAATTAGTACTAAGTTTAAGTCTCTTAACACTCTACAAACAATAAAACAACAAACAAACACTAATATTACCCAAATTGTAAATTCCATTATTCTTATATGAAACCAGCACCCTCTGAACTGTTTAAAATCAATTGGACAAATGGAGAATAATTCTCAGCAGGCATGGACCAAACATTCCAGATTTTCTTATTAACACAGTGCTTCCATGTATAGTGCAACGGCACTCTCTCACATCTGCAATTACTCTCGCTAAAATAGGCAAGTTCCCAGATATATTCAAAAACAGCAACAATTAAAACCATTGTTTTAAAAGGGCAATAGTTATGATCCAATGAACTAAAGACCTATCTCCCTGTTAATCAGGAGTTTTCAAAAATTCTGGAAAGGCTTCAATAATAGACTCAAACAGTTTCAATGCAAATAATGTCCTTACAAATGCACAACTGGCTTCAGGGAGTATAGATCCACAGAACAATAATGACAGCCAATGTTCTGCTTTTTAAATGACAATACTTGTTGCAGCTAAATGCAGAAGGAAATCCAATTGGCCTTCTTCTTAGATTTGTCAAAAACCTTTTGACATCATTGGGACGCATCATATACTTATAGAAAACTAAGAGGATGCTAGGGATTTACGGTCATTGCAGACCAATGGAATCAAATTTCATATTTTATCAAACCGTAGCCAAATAGTTTTGGCCTCTCCACACACTAAAGAAAACAAAATCTCCTCATGACCACTCCTGTCCTTGCAAAAAATAAAATAGTGTAAGTCCTGCAAGCATCCATCCTTGGGCCAATACTATCTTATATACATAATCGACATGTCTTTTGCTTAAAGGAACAACAAAATATTTTGTTTGCACATGACACAAACATCATCATCAAGCAAAAACACAACAATCATAGAAAAAGAACCTCAGCAAAACGTTTGGGCAAGCACTAAGTAAAATGGTTTCCAAGGCAACAACTCATGCATAAAGCACCAGCAGAAGACAGTCCTCTCTACAATTTCATGAATCCTCGGATCTTAAAGAAAAACTCTCACAGCATTTGCTCATAAACATACCCTGTAACGATATCTCATGAAACTACCTTTCCCTCGGACTAACAATGTCAGAAAACCTAAAATGGAACACTCACATCTCAAATCTTTACAAGAAGCTCAGGCAAATCTTGCTATGCCCTTTATACACCCTCAGGTCCAGCTCAAGTTGAGACACTTCGAACAATGTATTTTTGCAAATGTGCACTCACACCTAAAATAATGGATAATATTCTGGGGGAAATGCCCGCTGGAAAGCACTGCGCATCTTTTATTATCAAAAAGAACATTGGCGAACTTATGACCAGCACTCATAAGCTGGAATCTTTGCAAACCCTTGTTTAATAACTAAGGATTCTTTCCTCTACCATGGCATGTAGATATTTGAAATAGTGTCTTCACAAAGAAAAATTTCCTCATGGAAAATCTAAAAGACACTTTTACTTTAAATTCTGATGTACATAACTACAACACTCCCGTCAAAGGATAACTTACACGTTCCCCACTCTGAAATTACACTTCACAAAACAAAAAAGTTCGCCTAAATAGAGGGCATTACACTTTACAACAAACTAAGCAATGATATCAAGACATAAACACAATTCATAGCATTGTAAAAAGTAAATTGAAACCTTCTCCGGCGTCTCACACACCTGGTTTCCACTCAGTGTAAAGATCTCTTAAATCTACATCGAACATGTAGTTACACACATTACTACAACTCATCGTGTTGCAACACATAATTGATATGTTCATTCGTTCCAATATTATTATTACATCTTATTATTATTATGTATTATTATTACATATTTAAAACTGCTCCGTACATTAAAACCTATACACACATAAAAAGGTAACAAACAAGATGTAATGTAAAATTATACGCGCACAATCTCACCTTGTCAGGTTTTTTTCAAAAATATTAGAAAAACTGTTTCCTATGAAGACTCTCCAAAAAACTACTTTGATACGCTGTCACAGTTATCACTGACTCTTCAACATCCGATTTCAGGAAATGTTCAACTCTGTAACAGCTCTAATCAGGCTTGTAAATGAAATCCTCATGGGCATTAGAGAAAGAATTCCTCTTTGGTCTCTTTCTCGACCTGTCAAAAGCCTTTGACACGGATAGATCACTACACAATTCCTAATTGCAAATTTAGAGTCCATATGGAATACGCGGGATTGCTTACATTGGATAATCATACTATCAGACCAAAACAAAATAGTAAACCAAACAAACCCTTACCAAAAGGACACAAAAATAATAACCATCCACCTCCACAGCCAAGGAATGTGACATTATGGGGGTCCCGCAAGGATCCAACTACGGCCGACTCTTTATTTCTTATATTGTAAATCGACCTGCCATCTATCATAAAAAACAAACCTACTTTTTGCTGATGACACTATATCCACTTTTCAAAGAGAACAAACAAAGCCTTTGCAAGACAAAGCCAATTCTACGCATCGACAGCTCAGTTCACTGGATTCACGCATACGAAACTAATCCTATAACCGAGACAAACAATCACTATACCTTGGCCACTATTCCCAATCAACACAACAATACTCACCAATTTAACTTAAGAAGGAAACAGCATAAGACAGCACAAAAACAAAATATCTTGGAATCAGCATACAATCCCAACTCAAGTGGAACTCTCACCTAGAAGCATTAATTCAAATTGCAAACTTAATATGCTCTTAAGAATACTAATAAGGAAACAGCACCATTGATACAGTCCGCAGGAACAGTGTACTTTGGCAATGTGCCGCCTAACTAGACCTTCTATTCTTAAATACGGGATATAATATGGGGCCAAGCACCAGAGGCTAAACAACATTTCATACAAAATAGAATCATTCGAACAAATAACATTCCACAATTGGCAAGCACTAGTCAATGGTTTCAAGACAACAAATCATCATAAAACACCAGCAGACAGTCTTCTAATTTCATGAATCCCTCCTCTAAAGGAAAAAACTCTCACCGCATTTACATCATTCAACAATAACCCTGTAACGATATCTTCATGAAACTTAGACCTCTTCCTCGGACTACACTTCAAGAAAACTAAAATGGAACACTCACAATCTCAAATCTTTATACAGAAGCTAGGCAAATCTTGCTAGCCTCTATACACACCTCACGTCAAGCTGCCAACATTGAGAAACACTTCGACATGGTATTTTGCAAATGTGGCAACTCACACCTAAAATAATGGCAATAATTTGGGGAAATCCCCTCGAAAGCCCTCGCAATTCATGTATCCAAAAAAAGAATTCTGCGAACAGAATAAGCCAGCACTCATAAGCTGGAGTCCTGCAAACCCCTTGTTTAATAAATCTAAGGGATTCTTTCATCTACATGCAGTGTACAATATTTGAATAGTGGTCTTCACAAAGAAAATTCTCAGGAAACAAAGACACTTTACTTTAAATTCTGATGTACTTAACTACAACATCCGTCCAAAGATTAACCTCAACGTTCCC